GTGATTCCCCATCACCTCCCTTTTGAAGTCCTCAAACAGCTCAACAGCACTGCCTCTGCTGGGCTTTGCTGAGCCCATGAGGAAGCAATAACACTTACTGTCTACAATTATCCTTCAGTACCTCTAAAGCAGACTTTGTGGTTTATTTGGTTCTGTGCTGCCCCAGAATAACTTCCTATTTTTCCAGCTTGGGGTGAATTTTGTTACTTTGTCTCCTGCTTCATGATGAGCGACCAAAAATAATTCTTTTTAGGTAATGCACTGTCTTGCCATCATAACCACGTATTTTCCCCAGCCTCTTCTCCAATGGAAAGCAGAATGCTGCTTTTGTAACCCTTTCAAAATCATTTGATTCTGCTTAGGCTGAACAGTACCATAAATTTGAATAAAAAGAACATTATTTTCAGGTGACATTTTCGTGATAAAAATCAGCCTGTATTTCCCCTGGTTCTTCCCGCTTATAGGACAGAATGCTAATTATTTAAAGTTTGTGCTACCAATAGACTTTATTTGTATTGACACACATTCAATTTTCTTGAAGCAATATGAAATGATGTCATGTCATGTATAGAAACTCTAGAAGGGCTGGGATTTCACCTAGGATGTAAAATCACCTGATCTGTCTTGACTTACACATGCATTAATTGCACAGCCACCTCTCAGTGCATTAGGAATTCAGGATATATACTTTGATCTGCATTTTATTGTGTTTTTATTCCCACATGGAGTCACTCCAGAGATATAATCAATATTCACTTTCTCTAAAAAGTAAAATTGTTTTCTGCTTAAAAGGATTGTGAAGACCATTAGTGTTCCATTAATAAGTCTGAAACCTCTGTTGTCTCCTCATGAGATATGTTACCTTAAAAAAAAAAAAACAACTGAAAAAACCTGGAGATTAAACTGCTAATACTGCCTTCTACAGTAGTTGTATTATAAAAACTTGCAAGAATAGAAGATATACAAAAAGATCTGGTGTTTATTTGCCTAGATTAGAATAAGCATATACAACCTGAACACATATAAAAAGGAAACTAAACAAAACATACAATAAAAATGAGACCTCAGAAGAATGTATCGAGCTCAAATAAATAACTGTAAGTTAGCAGATCCACCCTGAACACCCTCTGATGAAACATAGCCCCAGCATTGACACTTGGGGTCCAGTTCCCAGATTTGCCTTCCTACTGTCAGAGAAGCGGCAGCTCGGTGCTTTGCCACCTGTGATCCACCTTGCAGTTACCCCTGCGGGGTCTGCCCTGAGGGTGCTCCCTGCCCCGCTCCCCAGCTGTAACTGAGGAGGTCCTGACATGGACCTGGATGTCCACAGCCACTGAGTGCCTGCCATGGCTGCAGGAATGGAGGCATCGGTAGCAGGTGGGTGGTTAGACCTGCACTGGTGTAGTCATGCAGAAGTCAGTAGGACGCAAAATACAGTAGAAGATACAAACATAGACCTCAGAAAACATCACTGTCTGCAGGCAAATGAGAATCCGCAGGCAAGTAATGGGCAAGCACAGCTGTGGCACCTGGGAAAGGCTACCAACAGGTTTTAAAATGTTTTGCAGGCTCAACATCTGTAACACTGAGTATCGTGTCTCTGCCATGCCCAGGGATGATAAAACCTGGTAAACCCTGATGCTGTTTTTAGTAAAAAATGCAGTACCAGATTTCCTTTGAATGCTAAAGAAAGGTGTCCTCGTGTTCATGAATCCCTATCCCCACCCCCAAATCCTAATAGTGAGACCATCTAATGCCTCGAGATCACAAAGCTTTTGAACACCGGGACAGTTCCCTGGTCATGGGCTTGCCCTGAGACCTCTGCTCTGCAGCCAGGAGAAACACAACTCTTTGAATTCTGAGTCACCAGAACAGCATTTCTCAGTACACCACAGTAAGAAAAGTCCTGCCAAAGCTGCCAACAAAAGGTGCCCGCTAAGGAGAAGTGGCGGCGGGCGGTGGGTGGGGGTGGAGTGGGGGTGAGATCTGGCTCACCCTGCTATGGCTGCTGAAAAAGTACTCTGGAGACACCTTATTTTTTCCTTCTCCAGAGGAAGCATGAGACCCCAGATGAACCTAGATGCCAAAGTTTCTGAAGCTGTAGTCAGGGGACATGATGTCCCATCAGAAGGACGAGAAAGGGCGGAAACTACATGGACTGAAGGACTTCATGGTGGGTTATGGAAGAAACTTCAAATGGCCTGTCTAGGCAGGACAGCATTCCCATGCAGATTGTGCAGCATCCCTCCCTTATTGAATCCAACCTGCAGATAAGAAAAAAGCTTCTGTCTACAGCACAACTCGACAAGCACCTTTTTTCAGAACCAAATTCACAATAAAGCAAAATCCTGCTATGGTGCTCATCAGTTCGCCTTCTCAGAGGATGCAGACAGCTAACAGGCCATCGGCTCTGCTGCTGTCTCTCCCATCTGTCTTTATTTCCAGAGCTCTAAGGAGATAAAAGCACAGCCTTGGTCTCAAGGACACATCCGCGTCCTCTGGAAGGGGCTCTCCTCCTCACAGTTTTCCATCCCTTCTCGTTCTCCTCCCACTGCCTTCAGCTGGGAGTTGATTTGCAGACAAATGCATCATGCTGGAATGATCTCCTCTTCACATTTTGTGGTCCTATTGCCCTGGATTGACAGGGTTTGTGCTCGCTAGTGGGACGTTGCCCCAATTTGCAGCGTCTGCAGCAGAGCGCCTTTATCTCTGTCATTACCACCTTAGGCTAGTTGCTAGCTAATCTAAGGCAGATGCATTAAACAACTTGTTTTCCTGCAAAAAATCCCACCTCTTACTTAACTGGGTTATATCTGGAGACTGTATGCATCTTTTGAAAAGAGTAAATATGGTAAGGAAAGGAAATCTGTTTAAGGAAATCTGCAAAAACTTCATATATCTCTATAATTGATCTAATATGAACTGAGACGCCAACCCGGTCACAGCAGTATGTACTGCAAATCTTAATTCTTCTGATCAGAGGATGTTGTAAATTGGAGATGGAGACCACTTACAAACGGGTAAAGACTGGTTGCCACTGCACCTGGCTATGGCAAGCAATCCGTAGCTGGTTCCAAATGCTATTCTGCTACCAAGCAAGTTTTCTGTGAAAGATCTGACTACAAAAGCGTGTAACCACCCCCATGACATTATGAGGGTTGTCAGTCATCCAAAAAGCTTGTAATAAAATAAAAACAACTAAAGGATTGCGAGACTGTAGGTCTGTCAGCTGAGTATCTTTTTCTGTTTATCTGGCTCTGTATTAATAACTTATGGATGTGACCAACTTAGCAGCAAGCTGCCAGCTGGATTATTTCCACCTGCAGAAAGCAGGGGGTTTCATGCAAAGCCATTTTTTTGGGGGGTGAAAGCAAGGAATGGTCAGTTATTTACATCATTTGGGGCAGTCTCAGGATATGTGTCACCTCAAAAGTGGCTTTGTTTACCAGAAAGTTCAAGGTAAACTCTGAGGAACTGCTGGAATTGCACTTAATGTGGACTTAAGAGATAGGTATTTCTGTATAGCACAGAACAAGTAGTTTGGACTCTGTATTTGCATTTCCCATGTATTTCTGCATTTGTATGTCATTAAAGTTATCACTAACTCCTTTTCTAAATCCAAGTCGAAATGCATCATGACCATTTTGCAGCTTTACATTGGCTATTTTTATCTGAATAATTAAAAAGACGGGTATATGAAACTCAAGCTGCCCAGAGAGATCATTAATATTGCAACAAAACCAATCCTGGCAGCAGCCAGCAATTATTTCAGAAGGATCTCAGAGAGCCTGCCGGCGATGAAAAAGCCTTTTTTCACCCTCTTATAAACTCAGCCCTAACCACAAAACCCTATTAAATTATGTCTTCTGACAAGGGCTCAGTAAGTTTGGGCTATTTCAAAGAGATGGAAAGCATTTCTGTATCACCGGAGGATGCCCTGCCAGCACACGAAGTGAGAACCGCACCTGAGCAGGGGTGTCACTCTCGCTGGGGACAACCTGTCACCGTGCATGGGGACCGTGAGGCGCTTTCGCTTCAGGCAGAGCAACCTGTAAAAACAACCCGTACTGATTAAGGGAGCTGTTAAAAACTCTGTGCTGCCAAAACTCTGGCTGCTTGGAAGAGAGAGAGGCAGGGAGTAGAAGCCATGGGTGATACTGGAGTGGGAGATGAGCAGAAAATGGGTGGCCCTAATTCTTGAAGCCCCAGGGGAGATTTGACAAGTGATGCTCTGCGGTTCAAACCCAGTTAACAGCAGTACAGGAAAGCAAAACTTGGGGCAACACATTCAGCATAAGCCCTGACTTATAAAATGTTTAGTTAGTTCTCAGCCAAAATACGTATGGGGCGGCTTCTGTGGTGGGACTCCACAAAGACCCATCGCAACCACTGGGCTCTTAGCATGGTTTTGACACCTGCTCCAAGCTCCATGGGCAGCCTGCCATGCTAACTACAGGCTTTTTTAAAGAGGAGCAATGATGTCACAGAAAAAATAATATTAATATAATGAGCAACAAGAGTTTTTTTACCAACATACAGAATCTAGTAACACTACGGGGTTTATTAGTGCCTCCCTGCCCCCAAAGCAAAGTGCAGACTTCAGAAGAAAAATTTGACTTGCTATGTAACAAAGTAGACTTAGATTTACGTTAACTGGAAAAATTCTACTTATTTTATTCTATTATTCTCTGCTCCTTTAGGCTGCCGCACTAGAACAGATTACAGATAAAAGCGTACTTTAACGTATTGCTCTGCATGATGTATCTGAGAGATGACTGTTATAGACTGTGCCGCATGCACTGTGTGTTTGCACCCAGACAGGCGTGTGGGTGTGTCACTGTCAGCTCTTATTTTCCCCACTCAAAAAACCCGAAAAGTGGTAATTTAGCAAAGATGCAGAGCTGGATTCCCACCCTCCCTGAGCGAGAGAGCGAGGTGGCTGCCAGTCCAGCATGGATCATCTGCCAGCTTCTTTGAAGCAAAGGTGGGAAAATGCGATCATGTGCCAGGAACCGGTCCGAGCCTGCGGGATCTGCAATACACGGGAGCAGAAAGCAATACCCACCGCCAGACGAAGTGCTGTGCCTTGGGTTCCTGACCACTACCGCTGTCTGATAAGCCTCTCTAATACAAGTCGTTGGTCACAGGTAACAGTGCTGCCTTGAGAGGCTGTGCACCTTCCCCGGAGGAATGGACATTGCCTTCTTCCACAGGCAGGGAAAAGGCGGGCTGAGGACACACATTTTGCTGTTTTGCCCATGGATAAACTCGGCTACCAGAATGCCAGGCCAAATGGATTCAGTACCTGCTGGCTGGAGACTTTGAAAGCACAAGGCAGAGAGGCTGGCAGAGCACTGGTAGCGACTCAAGTGTGTGACACAGCTACGAGGATACAGAACTTGTGTTTTATCCATGTTCTTTATTCGCTGTTGTTAAACTCTGGCTACCAAGATGTGACACTCGGACATGCACCTGTGTCGGACAAGTCTGGTCAATTCCATGCAGGTCATAAGCAACCTCTTAAGGTCTGGTTTACCAGCAGGACAAGGCTGCCAGGGTGTTTGCAGGGATCTGTATCCAACACACTCCTCCGGAGGCACACAGGATCTGCACGGCGCCATCACCGTGCGCTGGACCCCTGCGACACTGCACCCAGAGCAGCAGTAACACAGCCTAAGGTCCTTGTCCGAAAGGAGGGTGGCTAAGGTCCTTGTCCGAAAGGAGGGTGGCAATCTCCTTGCTGAACAAATGTTAAATATCCGACTAAATAATAATCCTAGGGCAACCGGTTTGCCTTACTATCTCCTTTGCATCTGTACAGCAACTTAATGCCAGCAAAGGCACAGGCGGGACTACCAACACAAAGCATCGACTTCCAGAGCATAAATTGCAGTAGTGCCTCCTTCCAAACACCAGGTTTGCCTAACTTGCCTGGGGCAGCTCCTGGAGGTGAATGGTTTGCTCCCTCCTTCCCACTCTCCTCTCCCCTACAAGTCTTCCCTGCTTGTGCTTGGCCACTGATTCCAAAAGCAGGTTTTAGGATAGCTCATTTGTCTCTGAAAGTCAAGCAGTGGCAGCAGCTGGGATGTAGACGCCCAGGACCTTTCTTTGCCCTCTCAGAAGCTTACATCCCATCTGTAACTGGATCTCCCTTATCTGTAACACAGCAAGCAATTCCCTTGCAGTAGCAAAAGCTGAGACCAGTTACTAGGCTGTGGCAGACCAGATTTATTAGGCTGACTGCCACTTGAAACAAATCTTCAGCCTGAGATTTGCAGGTGCTGTAGGAGAGAAAAAGCACTTTTCTTTGTCTCTTCACTGCCCTGTTGTAAGAATTTAACAAAATCTCATGCTGCAAATCATCAGCTGTGACATGAAGTGGCTGCTACTCTCACTTTCAGCTCTTACTTCACTACCTGTGCATCATTGGTAGTGTGGAGCAGCCCAAAAGCTGTGAATAAGGTGCTCAGCCCCCACCTCACTAAGGAAGAAGGCAAAGGAGCTCAGCAGGTTTTGGAGGGAGCAACCTGTTTGTGGAACAAGATTTACCGGGTCCCTCAGAACTCTCTGATCCCATTAATTCCTGAGAGCAGGGCGTCAGCACAGTATCAAACACGTGGTATGTATTAAACATGGGGCTCTTGCACTGTAGCCTGTGGTTACTGAATACCCATAAACAACAAGTTAAAAGTGAGGAATAAAACAAAATGCTGCAAGGAGCTCCAGCAGGAAAGGGTGAGAGCACAGCATCCTTCCTGGTGAGCGCAGGCGGGAGGCAGAGACCATTGCTCTCACTGATGTTGTGCAGCAAAACTGAACACAGAACTGGCCACTGCTGACACTTGGAGAAGTTGGCACACAGATCTGAACCCCGGGCTTTGCTGAGGGCTCTTCTCTTCCTTGTCTTCCTCCTTTGTCTAATCCGTCCCACAACTTGAGTTAAAGCGTCTAGAAAGCCCTGGCCATAGACCCCGTCTGTCCCCTGCTGGACACTGGAAGTTGCTCCATTTGTGTGAAGAATTCGGGTCGCTTCTGTTTGCCTCTGATGGTAAAATGAAGTGGGAGCTTTTTGGAGCAGCTCCATACACACCACAGCATTTAATGGTGGACTACGTTATTTGGGCAGTAGTATTAATCAGAAAACGAAGGGCATCGATAGCGTTCCAGGGTCAGCGCGCTGTGGGCATTTGGCAGAATATAATGTGAAGTCCTACTCGTGCCATCCCCGAAGGCCCCCGCGGACGCAGGGAGGTGGTGGGCAAGGGGGCGCGGGGGCCCTCGGTGACAGATGGACCTCGGGGGACGCCCTGTCAGGTCACTGCGCTTCCCTTTCTGCTGATAGAGGCCTTCTCCTCCATCACCTCACCCACCACCAGAAGAACAGAAAGAAAATTTGCCACCGGTTGCCAGGTGTCTGGAGACACCTACGGCAGTGATGCCCGGCTGCGGCCAGGCAGCGGGGCGTGATGGCGTGGCGTCTTTTTATCCCAAATAAAGCGCCCAAATACCAGGCCTGTTCCTCCCCGTGGAAACGGGGAGGTGATGCCCGGAGCAGCGGACCACAGGTATTTTACCAGGGCCGGCTCACGGGAAAAACCTCAGCCCTTGAAGGGCGGCCACCATTCACGGCTGTTTCTCCCTCAATTCTGGACGGCGGTTTCCCGACCCTGGTCCCGGCGGGAGGC